AATGGCAGACAACACTATTTTAGTTTACTTATAGGTTACGATTGTGTTGTGGGAGGATATCGTTAAAATTTTGTCGCGGTGAAACGCGTTTTGCCCTAATAACGTAACCACCCGCCATTTGCTTACCTTTAGAGTGATACCTTTGACGAGGACGAAATACCACCGAATGATATAAGATCACCTGAATCAGGTTGTAAGTTGACAATTTAGGATCGTTATGTTTACCAAGCAAACTCAATGGATTACATTGGTATTTGATACCTTCTCGTCAGGGTAAAGATAAACAATCTTCAATTAATTGATCCTTTCCTTAAAATGTTGATATTCTTTTTCCTAAGTTGACATTTTATTTTTTTCTCTATGCTTCCTTCAAGACAATGTCCCTGGTGAGCGTATCGCTACTTCGGATCTGCCAGAGCATCTGTTGATCCTGTCACCAAGGGTATGTCTGTTATTCTATTTATCCCTCAGTTTAATGAAGATCCCACATCTGTCAGATTATTAACTAAGTTTCTGTTGTATAAATGCACGTGGTGGCGAATATTTACAACTTGTAGAGATGTATACGATGTGTTCGATTGCATGTATGTCGGCATAGGCAGATATGCGTCGGTAAATCGGTGTGGTACAAGTCACTTGAATGCTAGAGGTACAAGTCCAACACAACCCACTTTCTAAATTGGTTTTATTTAGTCTCTCTTATAAAGCGAGGTGCCTGTCCTTATAACCTGTTCCTTGTATGCGCGACTATCTTGAATCATGTCAAACCCATCAACTTGATAAAAATGCCAGGCAACAACTTCAGTACCGCTATCTTTATGCCTGACGTAAAGAGTAGGGGTAGGGGGGTAATGTCGATAAGTACGAGGTGGACGGCTACTGAAAAGCGACTGCTGTGAGTGCCTCTGTCTCAGTGCCTATTGCTATGCGTACGTATAATAGCTAATTGACCTTGACCCTCCTGTGCATAGCCAACGCTTAGGGTACATCAGGAAGGGCAAAGGAAGTAAGGTTTTCCCGAATGTCAGGGGATTAGTCTACATTTGTGGCTACTAGAAAATCAAACAGGAGATTTTGTCTAGGACTGCAGGAATAACTAGCAGTTCCTAGGGCTCCAAATCGCTTAATAAAATTCGTGCTATAGTATTTTGAGTTGGTGTGTTTCTGATAACGAATTCGCTCTCCGTTAGGTTTGCTGCCTGCAAGAGAATTTTTACCTTTCATGTTAAAGTAACTTGCCACTGTGGTTACGAGATTAGGGTATCTAGAGTACTTCTGCCTACACAATGCGAGTGATGAAACAATTGGAAAGGTCGTGAAGGCCACAGAGTAAATGGATACCTCCAAAGGCACAGTTCAGGAGATGGCAGATGCCGTTCTTTACCTCTTTTTTCGTTGTCCATAAAACGTGGCATTTCAACAGGATTGTTCGTTTCCTAATCCGTTTGTGATGAGAGGTGGCTTTTGTGCCTTCATTTTCAATCCGAGGTTTGCTAAGCGAAAGCATATATCAATATTTATTTACAAACAATTCCACCTTAGACTTCTAAGTCACCGACCACTCCATGCTCAAGGGACCATACTTGCCTTGTAAACTTACAGATAACAGTTAAGTAACAAATGCGTCTGGGAGAGATCGACATACGACTTGGTACAGAAAGACAAGTTGTGACAAGAAGCATGACAACAAATGGCACAAGGTTACTTGAGGGTCTTAATATGTGTGATGGAGTGTATTTCGGTTTTGTTAATCAAATAACTGACAGAGCTGACGACTTGCGACCATGGAGATATTGTAATGGGATGTTATGCTATTTCCAACTCTGAAAAACTGAATATTGGTAGATTTGAAGAGTCATTGAAAATCATCAAAGTTTCCACTCGTAAAGTGAAGTAGTGCCTCCAGATACTACTTAAGGGTAGCTTTTAAGGTGGCATTTTACTGATAATATGTCATGAACTAGTCGTTTCGCTTAGACTTTTGATGGTGTTCCTCATTTTTTTAGCCCATTCACAAAATCACGGTCGTGCGTGAGTCTTGAGTACAAAGTGTTTACCCATAGTCTCTACTGTTGATTTC